AGTATTATATCATGAGGGATGAATTAGAAGGAAAAAATATGATGAGTACCTAGCATTACTATGTAAAGTTTTTTATTCAAGATGATAAACGATGCCATTTAATTATATATATATAAGGGATTAGGTGTATTTGAGGCTTCACGTGCGGTTATGCGGGTGGACGCACGTTAAGCATTAATCCGACGCACTTAAAGTACACAACACACGCACATTAAGCACACAAACCTCCCGCATGTTAAGCACAAGCCTCACGCATGTTAATCACAAAAATACACGCACCTTAAGTTTTAAAAAACAACTTACATTAAGTATACACTCACGCACATTAAGTACAAAACTCACGCACCTTAAGCACACGACTCACGCACATTAAGCATAAAACTTATGCACTTTAAAGTTTCAACGACAACTCGCATTAAGTACACACTCACACACATTAAGCACAAAACTCACGCACCTTAGGCACAATACTCACACACCTTAAGTACAAAACTCACGCACATTAACATTACACACTTACGCACATTAAGTACAAATCTCAGGCACATTAAGCACAAGACTCACACACATTAAGTACAAAAGTCACGCACATTAATCAAGCGCACAACCGTACAGGAAGCACTCAACCGCACTATATATATATATATATATATATATATAGAAGAGCGCTCATATGCGGCGGTGCGGTCAAATTCCAGAATACACCAACAGTGTTAACAATATGCACCAACAGTGTAATAAAAACACACCCCAATGAAATGTAATAAAACATCACAAAATACACCACAGACTCAAAAAAACACACCATATAACTCACCACCCCCAATGGTGTATTTCCGAACAGTGTATGGTGTTTTTACTCACACCTAATGGTGTGTGTTTGGTGATGCAGGGCTCTGTTTACTCTGTTTTGTGTGGTGTATTTCCTAACATTGATGATGCATATTTGGTGAACTATTGGTGTTGCCGCACCGTAAGAAATAACCGCACCGTAAGACATTGCCGCACCTGAACCCGCCTCTCTCTCTCTCTCTCTCTCTCTCTATATATATATATATATATATATATATATATATATATATATATATATATATATATATATATATATATATATATATATATATTTTGTTTGTTTCTACACTACCTAGATTATCATCAAGTTGTTTATTAAAGTCCATTGCACTAGAGTGATACTTGGTGTCTCAACAAATATTACTTTAATTTATTTTTAATACTCACTAATGCAACGAATTGATATTGGTAATTGGGGTTGGGAGCTCCACATATATCATTTTTTTTTTTTTAATTTCATTTGTTGGATGAAAGAATAGCAAAAATGTATGCATGATTGGTGGAATAGGACATAATAATGATAGCTTGGGGGTTAGAGGACATCATAGTGTGAAGAAGCTGAAAAATCAAAGAGTAGCAGAGAGCTAAGCTGGCCTGGACCTAGCAAGCTAAATCAAAACCACAGATTATTATCATTATTAAATGTATGCTTTTTGTGGAGAGAAATCATTCAACATTGTTGCGTTGATCATGCAAAAAAGGAACTAGAAGACAATATTATGAACAAAAATTAAAGCAAAAGTCTCATATTATATTGTTGAAAACAAAATTTAAATTATTGTATTGTAATAATTACATTAACAAGCTAGATTTTAAAGTCGGTATTTTAATATTAAAATATGATATTTCGGTGTAATATTAGCTAATTTAATCCATTTTAAATTATCGTCAATAATTTCATTGAATCTTTTTTTTTTTAATGAATCTAAAAGCTAATTCCAGTAAGATTTGATATTGTTGAGATTAGGTTAAAAAAAATATATTATTTCCCCTTTTAGATTTTACATTCTAATGCTCTAAAAATAATATTGTGTTCGTAAGGTGCTTTATTTGTGTGCTTAAAGTGCGTGATTTGTGTACTTAAGTTGCGTTATTTTTCTTCATAAGTTGCGTGATTTGTATGCTTAAGGTGCGTCAGTTGTTGAAACTTAAAGGTGTGCCATTTTTAAACTTTAGCAAGGCGTTTGGTTGGAGGAAATTTAAATTCTATTCCTACTTAATTCCCACCTAATTTCAAAGGCACTAAATTCCTTAGTTTGATTGAAAGGAATTGCAATTCCCTCATTTTCATGGAATTAGAATCTCATGATCCTCGCGGGATTTTAATTCCATGAATTTTAGGAAGAAAAAAAAGATAATCATAAGACAAAATTATCTCTCCCCTTTTTTAACTTAAAATTGATGCCGGAGCTTCCCTTCTAGATGATAGTCGCGTATTATTCTTCGATCAACAGAGAGAACGTCATTCCTGAGCAATAATCATTCTTGGTCTGGAAAAAAATTGTGGATCTTGAATGCAAGTTGAAACCTAAAATTCTACTTAATTTTAATTAACAAATTACCTTACCATTAATTATGTTGTTTTTCGAATGATTAAAAATAGATTAAAATGTAAGAAAGCAGAAGAGGAACACAACAATTGTTCACGCAGTTCAGAGCTAAACTCTTACGTCTGCGGGGCAGCTCACGTTAGCCCAATCCACTAGATGTTCACTAAGATTACAAGGGGTTTGAATACAAAAGGCCTCAGCCACATAAATCGACTTATTAATCGTCACAACTCACAACATATATTTCTGGAGAGGTACATGCATGCTGAAATTCATCTTCATGCTTCAACTACGCTGAACCAGCTCCAGGCAGACTGTCACGGTGAAACCACCACTTTAATACACATTAATAAATTGAAACACCATGTTTAATATATAGAGAGAGTCCTTCAAATTTAGCTTAGGAAATCCGTGAATAATGAGATAGAAAACCATCCCTTTTATACTTGAAAAGGTGGAACCGACTTCCTTAAAAAATGTTGACCAGAAATCCAATAACAAACGATAGCCACCCATTTAAATTCAGGCTGAAAACTAGTTCAGCACAACTAAATTCTGTTAGGGAATCATGCTAAGATGCGCTGACCCTGATTTAGATTGAATAAACTCCTGAGATAGAATGCTGAGATAAATTCAGATAGGGGTACGGTCCAATATTACATCAAATTAAAATCTAAATTTTGTCAAATAAATTAGCCAATTATATTAAGGTAGAATGTGTATCATTTGTACACTTACAAGGTCAACCTTAATTAAATATGTTTTCTCAAAACTCTCAAGTATTTAAATTTGATGTGTATATAGCGTGTGGTGTGTTTGTTTTATAATAGCGAATGAATTTATGCTATAGTGAATGACGTCTGAAATTGCACCGTGAATCTTGAAATAAAAAAGTAATGTATTTTTACTTGTTTTTAAGTTAAGCATCAGTTACGTTCATTAATTAAACTTAGTTAAACAAATATAAATAATGAAGACAGAAAGCATAAACGAAAGTAAAAACACAAAGAAATTGTTACGCAGTTCGGAACGCTTCTCCTTCGTCTGCGGGGCAACCCACGTCTGCCCAATCACTATAGATGTTCACCAAGGAGTATTACAAGAGGTAAGTACAAAACGATTACCAGCCGTTACTACCACAACACCTTCCTAACATCTACTCAGGATTGTACGTGCATGCCGTTACAAGCTTCAAGTGTTGATGTAGAACCAGGTTCAGACCCACCGTTCCAACAAGGTTCACACGATAAATCAATATAGAAACCAGTAGTGAAATTAGAAAATATCTTCTCAATATAAGAGCTTGGTAATTCGTCAACTTCAATTAGGAAATTGCCTCCTTTTATACTGATTCTCTTTCAACAAACTTTTCCCAAACACATGGTGTCCACTCACATGAGAAATACCATAGCCATAATAAAATATTAATTCCTTAGCAATATGTTTAACTGCCACACCACATTTTTTCTTCCTCAAATACTTCCAACGCCACAAATAATACCATGCAACCAATTAATTAGCAACACTAATTAATCAAGACCATTTATTAAAATCTTCAAATCTGAATTGCATTACGGACCAAGTGCTTGAAGACTTCCAGTTTATTTACCTTGCATAATATTCCTACCTTGTTTTTGATAGGAGATGGTCCATGGTTCATATGATAAATTCAAACTAAATTATGATTATTTTGACAATTAAATTAGCCAATAAGCAAGGGTTTTAATGTGTATCATTTATACACTAACAACGTCAGTTGTGTGTTTGTTAATTTTGATTATATTTTTTGGTGTTTGAATGTGCAAATGGGTCCAGAAATACTTGTCATTTAATAATAATAATAATAATAACCATAACGACAATGAGCATTTTGGACGTTATACTACTTATTCCCTCTCAATTCCCATATATACCAAACATTGAAATTGAAATTCCCAGTAATTTTATTCTTGCAAACCAAACACGGAAAAACTCTCACTTTATTACCACATTATTCTTTTTCCATGGAATTACAATTCCTTTCCACCTAATTCCTTCCCTCCAACCAAACGTCCAGTAAGTTCGTGGTTTATGTGTTCTTAAGGTGCGTCTTTTTTATTTAACCGCACGGAAAACTATACCCACACACGAATACACACACACACACACAGATATATATATATATATTATATATATATATATATATATATATATATATATATATATATATATATATATATATATATATATATATATATATATATATATATATATATATATATATATATATATATATATATATATATATATATATATATATATATATATATATATATATATATATATATATATATATATAGGGTGGTTTTCTGGTGCAAACCACTTCTTTTTGTGTGAACATGTGCACTCATCTGGCGCGTTGATTTTTTGTATCCGTCAACCCACGGTGAACGTCCAGCCCGCTACGGTACACCGGCACGCGTGTTAATTACTCTTGCAAATTTGTATTTCTGTTTATGTAGGAATACGACTCCAGTTATGAATGTTCCCCCTATATTTTCGATCACCACCCCGCTGACATATTGAACTCCGACTGTGCTGGTTACGTACATGGTGACGATGGAGATTCACGGCGATGCAACCCCGACGACTGGTGCGGCGGAGCATTATCCCACAGGTACCCCCCCCCCCCACCCCCTTCCATCTGTGTTGCTGTGTTCCGTTTGATCGCACTCCGTTAACTACAGTTAAACCCCTCCCTCCTTTCCTGTCAATTCTCTATATATACACCATTCTCTTTACTCTTTGACTCCCACTCCCACTACACATCTCTGATTGGTTTAAATTCCAAAGTTTATCAATGGCTTCAATGGCTTCGTTAAGTATTCCCGTAATTTTTTATTTGCCCCATGCACTTAATGATGGTTTAACGTTACCAGCCCCCTGTGATTAATTTATATGGGTTTCATTCACTGTTTAGAACTATAGCAAACCCAAGCAAAGTTTGGCATTGAATATTAATGGTTAAAGAAACAATGTTCCATACTAAGGTGTTGTGGTGACAATGTAATTGGTAATATGCATTTGTTGTTAATTGAATGTAACTGGGATCTATCATTTAAATGTTATTATTGTTGGGAACTATCATTCAAGTAGTTCCGTATTATGGATTTTTGTTCCCACATGCAGATTATAATTACCTAGGTTCTGCTTGCCTAACATGATATTCACCAGCCTACAATGATAACAAAGTTTGGAGGAAAAGATGATAATCTGGACTGTTTTTAAGTTTGTATTTATGTTGTTATTCAGATTATATAGTAATGTAATTAATCGAATGCTATAATTAATGTGTTGGTGCGACTATTACAGGCTCAATTGATGGTGATTCAAGTACTAGGGATGTAACTCACTACACGCCGGGCCCTACCACCGGCCTGAAACAACACTGGAAGCCCACCGTAGACACTAAAATCATACCTGTACTCGGGCAACGTTTTAAATCACTATCTGAAGGGATTGAATTCTACAAGAACTACGGACGTGTTGGTGGTTTTGACATTAGGCACAACAGTGTTAAGCGAGATCGGACCGGGGCAGTTATTCGGCGTTCTTTAGTTTGTAGCAGGCAAGGAGCGAAAGGAGGTGGTAGGAGGGTACCCACCGTAGTCGTCAATGTTACTAGTAGTAGCAATAAGCAACGCCGAAGAAGGGTTTCTAATAGAATCGGGTGCAATGCCAAGCTTGGGTTGAAGAAAAATAGTACTGGGGAGTTTGTGGTAACTAAATTTGTCGAGGACCACACTCATAGTCTGTGCTCTGAGGGTGCTAAATTATTTATGCGGGGTAACAGGAAACTTAATGTAGCCCAACAAGCATTTTTAGCCAACTGTTTTAAAGCTAATGTGGGCGCTTCTACAGGGATGAGGTTATGTAGGGAAGTAGCGGGTTCATTTGAGAACGTTGGTGCAACGTATGTGGAGTTTCATAATTTTAAACGAGACTTGCAAGCGTATGTGGATGAAGTTGATGGTGAGTTGATTATCGAAAGGTTCAAAACCAAGCGTGAAGTCTGTGACAGCTTCTTTTACAATTACCATCTCGACGAAGAAAACCGACTTGCACGACTCTTTTGGGCCGACCCTATTAGTAGGCGGAGTTTTTCCTGTTACGGTGACGTGATTTCGTTTGATGCCACGTACAGAACGAACATGTGTGTAGCAGATTACATTTTAAATGCATAGTACTGGATTGCACTCTTGTTTATACTACCCATACTAAATTACAATCTGCATACCAATACATGGTTAAACCCCATATTGATGATAGAACTTTCCGTATTTACTTGTTTGCATTGCCCTGTCATTGCAGGTACAACTTGGTGTTCGTACCATTTACTGGAGTAGACAACCACAAACGATGCATCACTCTTGCTGCGGGGCTGCTCAATAAAGAAGACGTGGAATCGTATAGTTGGCTATTAGAAAGATTCATTCATGCAATGGGAAATGTCCCCCTATGTGTTGTCACCGATCAGGACCCCGCTATGAAGATTGCTATAAGACAGGTTTTACCCGGGTGCCGTCACCGTTATTGCATGTGGCACATTATGACGAAGGTTGGTGAAAAATTCGGGCCTGAGTTATCAAACAATGAGGTATTCCGCAAGAGTTTGAATGATATTGTGTGGAACGAAACAACCTCCACCGGTGACTTCGAAGTGCAATGGCAACTGCTAATGGAGAAATACAACTTATCTGATCATCGTTGGTTCCAGAGCTTGTATGCAGATAGGGATCATTGGATTCCTGCTTTTTTTATAGATTCTCCCTTGAGTGGGTTGGTTCGCACCACATCTCGGTCCGAAGCACAAAACAATGTTTATGGGAAATTCACACGCCTCCATTCTAGTTTGGTAGAGTTCTACATGCAGTTCGAAAGCGTTCTTGAAACACAACGTCACAATCAAGCTAAACTGGATGCACAGTGCGAGGGGTCCTTGCCCGATTTTAAGACTCCCTTGGCATTAGAGCGGCACGCCGCAGATTTGTTCACACTATCTATTTTTTACACTTTGCAGGAAGAGATTGAAGCTGCCTTCTTTTATTGCGAAATTGTGGGCATCCGTGAGGATGGGGGGAACATTTATTACACCATCAAAGGGGATGGCACCACTACGTACACTGTAAAGCACGAGCCGGGCGGGTCCAGTACTATTTGCAGCTGCAAGATGTTCCAACGCTTGGGGCTAATTTGCAGACATATGTTCATGGTGTTCAAGGGTTCACATTTACAGCAATTACCATCCCAGTATGTTGTGGATCGTTGGCGCAAACACCTAGGATGCAATGCTTGCAGAGGGCAGCATGTTGATGGTGTCCCTCCAAAATCAGGTGCCACAGAACTGTGGTCTGAGATAAACACGTGTGTCGGGATGGTAGGTGAGAGCACGGTGCGCCAAGCTCGGATGGTGCAGGTATTGAAAGAGTTGAGAGATGAATTCGCGAGCGACTGCGAGATCATCGGGGCAGCAAAGAGCAATAGGGCCACGATCGAGGCATTCTGTGGAGTCCAGCCACCACCATGTATAACCATTAAACCCCCGGCACAGGCAAAAAACAAAGGGAGTGGAAAACGTATTAAGAGCAACCGGGAGATAGCCATAGAGAACAGTGTCAAAGTCGGGCGAAAGTGTGGGGTGTGCGGTGAATACGCCCGTCATAATGCTCGTAGTTGTCCTTCCAAGCAAAGGGTAGTTTAGTTGAATTTTAATTTGATGTATTCCATAGCATAAGATAATTTACTCTTAGTATGTGCAATACTGCCATGTTGCTTTTGTTGCACTCTGTAAATGATTTCAATAGTTTGTCTATACTGATATTATGCTCTATTGCGCACACGAATTGAGTCTATCCCAGATATGTTATTTCCATTCACATGGTAATTCTTTGACACATGCACAGTGTATTATTCACTACGGAAATAAAATAGTCATGGACAGAAATTTGACATGCAGAACTATGTACCACTGGTTAGTTTAGTATATATGCAGAACTATGTTGGTTCAATAAATTAATTTAATTGCTTTTTCTGACTCCAGTGCACTAAGAACCTACTGTAATGAAAATATGCAAATCATAACGAATGGTTAATATTAACAAAGTTTGGCACCTGTGCATGCAATTCATAAGTAGCAATCTATTTAATAATTAAAATGGGCATAACTAAATACCATCCACAAAGCAGTAGCTAACAGGTTCCCAAATCTAAATGCACTAGCTCTGCACTAAAAACTTTTAAAATTACTATTGCCAAGGTTAAATTGCTAGCCGCGATCAATGTTGGAGTTGAGCCGCCCTTTGGACATCATATTGGCCGATGCGAGTGGCAATATTCCCCTTGTTCTCATTTTCCTCACTCAACAAGATGTTGTGCAGGTAGCGTTTCCGTAAATCGAGAAGCTGTTGGCTGTTCCCTTTCTGCAACCCACAGTCCCAGTTCCTGCACCTCTGACCGGTGTATGACTCCATATGCCGCATCGTAAAAACCGCGGAGTCTTGGGTGAACATGGTGGATCTCCATGGCATCTGCATCCGCTTTGGTTTCATGCTTGCTAGCCGAAATGCACGGAGCGTTTGAGATTTGCTATCCAAGTATACGCTTAGTAAGTCTATCTGCAACAAAGGGATTTGGTTAGTGAATATTATTTATCAATTACCACACCCCATGAGACCATCCTAAGGCATTGGGGTAAACACCAATAAATGTTAGTACCACAGACACATACCAACTCCGCCGGAGCACTACCATACATTTCTTTGTTCGTTTTGTTAGCAGATGAGCTGTCAATAATATCAAACCTAGAATGCTCAAAACTTATGCTCATCATGTAGTACCGGCCCTTGTGCAAAATGGGGAAAATAAACTGCACCATAGACATATGTGTGCATTAGTTATGTACCATCCCGTAGTATAAAGTGTGGCGGAGTATTATATCAAAGTGTAAAAACGGTTACCATATCTATAGTCGCTGTCCCTTCATGGTGTGTAGTATTCAGTTCCTCATCTAGCCGCTTGTTGAACCACGTTATCCTCTCATCCTGGTTGGAGGAAATGCTCACGACGGTTCCAATCTGCACGCACTTCTGTTTAATAGTGGGAGTTTATGGTGGGGTCATGCAGTTGGGTTTTAGATACTCACCGTGGCCCTGGTTGAGAAATAGATTCGAGAAGGTCGCCCGTCCCTCCGGTGTTTTTCCCTAGAATTAAGAACGCTACACCATGCATCAACTACATTCTTTGCCACATGTGTCCTTTCCATTAAAGTTCTGAAATCTGACCATCTGGCTTTTCGCTTGTCATGCTGGAACAGCACCTCATTGCTAAAATGAGAAACAAAAATGATGATGTCAAAGAGAAAGCAGTATAGTGTTTTTAAATTAGGCTCAGTGGTCCATCAACACACCCATATCACATCTATTAACCACACATCTTAACCAGTATAATGGGGTCCTTTTTTCCCCCCTCAGTCTAAATGCACCAATCACTTCCTTAAACCCATTTCGAAATGCCAGTGGCTGGCCAAACCTGCACAACACCTATACCAGCAAAAGTTAAATCACTTTAATCATAGAAAAGAAGTTCCCTTTTCCCTCTACTTGCAAGTTCAATGTACCTCTACTATGTTGTACCGCCTAACACGTAAATGTCTGGTGTTCAACTATGCTATCAAAACATCACCATGCTTCCAATATTATTCTGATTTGGGAAACGCACTTACCGGTCCCCATGTGGGCAGCCGAACACCCACAACCAAACAACGTATACGGGTGGTAGAGGTGTGGTAGGGCAACCCAAGGTTGTCCTAAAAACCATGCCGGAAGGATATTCTTCCTGGATGACCGGCCCCTCCCGATCGCGATCTGCTCCATCACGCCTCTCGAGTGCTACCCATTGAGGAGAGGGCTGCAATACGGCCTCCATATGATTCACCTGAACGGGTACCTATCATCCGAAATTTGACAATGAGTTATCATACTAAAGCACAGCAATGAGTTATTTTAGGCACAAACCTGGGGTTCAGGTGTGGTAACATCTGCTTGTAAAGCCCGGTTCCGCTCTAGATTCTGCGTTGCCAACTCCTGTGTCATCCCAAGGCTAAAACTAGGAGCATCAACGCCCCCGATATTGTCCAACGCCTCAGCCTCTAGTCGATCCAACTCCTTGAAGAATTCTGGGTCGTGCCACATGTGGTCGTCGTGCGCATCTGATGTCGGGGCGGGGGGTTGATGATCCTCTTCAGCGACGGGCTCCACAATTAAACCAAGCAGTAATTTCGATGCAGCGGTGACCCGATCGAAATCCTGGTGTTGACGAGCTAGAGTGGGGTGTTGCCATACCATATCAACAACCCGTGAAGCAACTGAAAGTAGGTCCCCGGACATGGTTGCAAACTCCTTGTCAAAGGCCTACATCAACATTGTTTATCAACCCACCTAATAAATGTTTTCCACGATAAAAGACGCGTTGCGGGCAAGGATAACACTATCATACCGTATTACTTGGTGTTAGTAATTCGACGACCCGTACAAGTTCCTTGGGCATCCCCCTCGTCTTGATAGGGGGGAACAAGCAGTCCTCGGGACCATGGACAGCACGTGGAGATCCTTCATACTCCACATCATCAAGCCGCCGTAGGGGGGTGTAAAAGTCCTCACCCGACACACTCTGATCATCAATTCCTACAGCCATTTGATGTGAATCCCCACCTGCGATTAAAGTAAATAAACCATTATTAAAAGAAAAGCGAGTATATATCTCAATTTTGGTAGCCTAAACTATACTGCTGCTCCGAGCTAGTCTAGCTAGCCTAAACTATACTTTTTCTTTGCAAAGTTGCTTCCAGGCCTTCTCCCTTAAGTTCCTCCCTCAACTTCTTCACCTGCAAACAATGGCCTCATCTCTGCAATAAATTGCAGATCAACCTACAGCCATCTGCACAGCAGGTCTGCTCTTGGAGCTTCCCTCCTGCTGCCAGTACCCCAACACTGCTGTTCCCCTCAGTGACTGCCCAGCATAGCAGCCCATCACTGGGTGAAAAGATCATGGGAGCTCAAGCCTCACTGCTCAGTCCCCCCTAGGATTGCCTCCTAAAAAATCTGCTCAAGCCTCACTCCTTCCTTATTCTCCCAGCCCCTTTTAGAAACCATCAACCTCCCTTGTACCCCCTCAATCCCCTCTGTATTTTCAAATAATATTTAATTTATCTAGATTTTTCAATGAAATAAATGTGAAAGTCGAAAAATTTAAAACCGTATAAGTTAATTCCTAACTTATAAAATCAAGAAATTTTAATCTAATAACCAGGTAACATACACCAAAAAATATATATACATCAATCATCGCACAAATTTATATATCAGAAGATATAAACCATTCAATATAAATAAATCTAACAAAATAAACAATAAAAATTGCATGCTTTGGGGTGTGTGGGGTGTTTGGGAAAATTGCATACCATTTTCCGGGTGGATTAACTGGGGTGTATGGGGTGGGGTAGGTAGTATGGTTTACTGTGATTGCAGAGTTGGTTTCTGCTTATTTGCTGTCCAATTTGACATTCAAATTGCAGAGTTGCAGAGTTGGCATTCCCCGGTTAATACACCCCAAACACCGCCGGAAATGGTATCACAGTGAAAGCCCACACCCAAACAAAAATTAAGATGAATTCAAAAACATGAGAAACACCGCTAACCTTTGAGAGTCTTCAGAAGAGACGACCGCGGAGGACGGGAGCCTGCCCGACGCTTGAAGGGACGGTTCTCCACCACGACTTTGCGCGAACCAGCGGATGAAGGCGTCGTCGGCACGAACGGATGCCCAGACCTACCCAACATCGACCGACGAGAGCCACTTGATCGCGCCATGAACTATCACACAACCGGGCGGAAATAGCGAGAGGAAGCCAGAGATGCGAGCTATCGCCCAACTGGACGGGAAACGTCGATAGATACGCATGGATTCACCCCCGAGAGAATAGGCAACCCGAGAGAATAGACAATTTGAATCCGATTTGGTTACATCAAATGTCCAACCGAAGGTGCACCACTGAAGTGCGGCGCACACCACTAGCATGTACCTTCACCCACAACCACCGATTAGTAAAAAAATGCACGGCTGAGATAGGTGCACATGTTCTCATGATATCTTAAGTTCACACCTGAACCCACACCTATATATATATATATATATATATATATATATATATATGTGTGTGTGTGTGTGTGTGTGTGTGTGTGTGTGTGTGTGTGTGTGTGTGTGTGTGTGTGTGTGTGTGTGTGTGTGTGTGTGTGTGTGTGTGTGTGTGTGTGTGTGTGTGTATATTCTTATTTCCCTTCTTCTTCCTCTTTTCGATTTTTTTTGGGGTTAATTCAAAGACACGGGTTAAAGCACAATAACCCCATCATTCATTTACTTGATTCGATACTTTTTGACTCAGTTTATATATTTTATTATTAATGCAAACCATAACATATTATATTGTTCATTTGACTTTGTAAAGCATGTACATACTAAAGCAGACAGAACAAAAATAAGGGAAAAATTGGATGAATTACAATTTTAATCGCTTATTTCTTATTTATCATTAAGCGACAAGATATGATACACATCTAAATTAAAATATATACCGACAATTCAAATTATATGTTGCGTGTATATGTGTATATATATCTGGCCAGCTAATAACTTCTTAAACTTCTT